GGAATGGAACCAAATCTGCTTTAGTTTTTTAATTTAACATGACTTCAAGAAGACAGTAATAAACTCCAGCTGTCAATTCAGTGATTTATTTTAGAATCAGAAGGCTTAGGGGAACAGCTCAGCAGAAGACAAAGAAGCAGCAGCAGCTATCAAGAAGTGTATGCCCAATGAGATCAGATTTAACTCTGTTTTTATCTTGTACCATACAGTCTGATCACATAAGAAATTGGAGAGAATAATTTATTACAGAGATCAGGATTAACAGCAGTACTTCAATATTTTTCAGGGATTTTTATAGAGAATGAATTTTGTTATTGTATTTATATTAATGAATGGTAAAGAAGGTATTTAGGGTATCTAATGATTACAAATCTATTTGGAGTTGTGCTTGAAGTTAGGAATGACAGATGGCTGCATGATACTGTACACCCCGTATTTGAAATAAAAATAGAAGGGATGAAGCAAGGAACCTTTTGTTTTCGTTTTTGTTTTTAAAAGAAAAGCAAAACGTACCATTGGTTGGGTGTCGAGCAAATGAGATAGAAAACCTTTTAACAGCAGAACCGCGTGTGGTGTCTGAGAAAGAGAAAAACAGGTACCTGAAATTTTAACAGCTACCAAAAGAGGGACATTTTTAAAAAGGAAAGGAAGAAGAAAGAAAAAAGAAAATATGAGAAGGTATTAGAACTGAATCGCATGCAGAAAGGACCATGGAAAAGGGCTAAAATCTAAACAAGTTAAAAAGAAGAAAATTTGGACTGTTGGTAACTACAAGATGTGTAATGAAGTGTATGAAAACAAGCAGAATGAGCTGGTGATTCTGGCATACAAGGTTATATCAGGTTAGAGTTTAACACTGAGTAGTGAATTGGGAAAACATGAATACTCTTTCACCTCAGAGTTATAAAGGTTTGCTTTGGAATCTTTACATTCTGAAATCTAGTGAGAGTGATTCCTCTCTACCCTAGATTATCCAAAACTGAAAATATCCTGTTCCTTTATAATCCAAACCCCACCGAAAAGAAGTCAGGAATCCTAAAATTTTCACCATCAGTAGTTATTAGTTTATAATTTCTTTCATTCATTGTATATCACCCAAGTAATTTACTTCATTTCAAGATCAGTATCATTATCATTTCAAGATAAAACCCAAAAGTTTAAAATGAGAAGAATTTCTAAACGAAAATGTTGGTTTACTTAAAAAAATGCACTAGCTGAAATTTCCTGGCACGTATTACAATTCTGTGAGTGTTCAAGACAGAAACAATAATTAAATGTCCTACTAAGTTAAACATAAGCAAGCTACGGGCAATACAGAAGCAACAGAAACTCATACAATTGATACTAAGGCAAAGGATTCTAGGATTTCATTATCATCAGCAACCTAGGATTTATCTCTAGAAATTTAATGTGGCACATGGGTTTGTGCGTGCATGTGCGAGAGTGTGCACATACCATCTATGAAGCCAGAGGAAGTCAGCTTTTTACGATGAGTACGAGCATAATCCTGTAGGTTAGGTGCACTTGAAGAACCCCCGAGCACTGAGGTGCTAAACAGGCCCGCACAGTGAGACCCTGATGGGAGTTAGAGAAAATACATACAACAACCAAGTGTTCGTCCATTCACATTGGGGATGCATGCAGCATGCAAGCACATGGTTCTTACCACACAAAAGGCAGCTTTTGGCAGTGCCTTGGACAGGTTCACAATATGCTTGTAATGTCAGAGTAGTACTTCTAGGCTGAAACTATGATAATTTATTGTGCTTCTACTCATGACAGCACCCTCTGCTATATGTGCAAAGGGGACTGGCTTTAATAAAGTGAGTTCTTGTCCTGTTTTCACTTTTGGTAAAGAAAAGTTACCAGTTAGCATCAATGTAAACATAAGCCAAACAACAAAACAAAAGCAAGATGATGATGATGATGATAAGAAAGTTGTGTGTTTTAAAACCTGCAGTTCTGAAACAAATATAAACTGGAAAGATACTGCTCATTGCTTTTGTCCAAATAGACCTTTGAGATGATAGGCTGCAGTGAAGTACTCATGTATTTCCACAGTTTTAATACGGAAACATTTCCCTTCTAACCCCCCGTCCAAATGTTACCCAAATTGGAAGTACTCTATTTGTATTTTAATGACCATCATCGACAATGTCGCAAACTGAAAATACCTAAAAGTTCCACCAAGTTTAGCTTGATTTCCTTTCCTAAGAACAATTTGTATACCTCCATGCAAGCGAGAGTACTTTTGTTATAACTCACATTCCTGCCACAAGGATGGGAGTTTTAACAAAGCATTGAAAGTCACAGACAGAAATATAAAAATAACTTTTACAATCATCATCCGTAAATGAAATTTACATAAACATTGAACCAAATGGAAAAATACTGCATTTTTTTTTCTTTAGTTTTTACTACTAGTGGAAGGGAGAAGTGGTTTTTCACTTAGAACTTATCTTTTACATTTTAGATAAGTAGCAGCAGATTTTTTTTTGAAAACCAACTATCTATCCAGTGATACTTCCTTTTATTACTTTTAATGACCCAGTGAGAGGAAACATTACTAGCACATGTGACCAATCACAGCCAAAATAAACTGGTACCTAGTCTGTGGCAAGCCTTTCACACCAAATGTAATACCTTAATCTACACACAGAAATACATCAGGTTCCACAAGCCATATTGTGTGACGCATTGGCAAAATAAAAGTTGTTTAACTTTAGCAAGCACACAGTAAAAATATGCCTTTGATAAACAAGAGCACCTGATGTATGCATTTTACTAAGGGAAAATTATAATAGGGAGAAAAGTATTACAGAAATATTAGATATATAAAAAATACAGATCTTTACAGAAAAAGGAATAGCTCCTTCTAAGTTTATGCATATGACTTATGCATCTTCTACAATTCCTTTTTCCTATGAAAAGACACAATTACAGAAAAAAATGCAATATTGATTTACAGTAGTGCAAGATTTAATATTTTTGCATATCAGTGATATGTATGTCTGTTTCAAAGAAGCAAGAGAAAAGCACCACTTGAATTAAAACAATTTGAAACAACTAATTGAATTATAGCATGATTAATTCTAACACTGAAAGGAAGAAACTGGTTTTAGGAGAGGGAATGTATGCAAATACCCTGATATTATAAAGAAACTTGAGGTTTGTTCCCCATCCCCCTCCCCTCTGTAAAACACCTTCAAGTGCCCACAGTAGGAAATGTTAATTTTCAAGAAAAGTGTTTTAACAATTTCCAGTGCAGGCCATTTCTATCCAAAGGATTCTTGCAAATCCCAAAAACTCAGTAATAAACTACATTATCTTCAAAATCTAGTTTATGTTAAAAATAATCTTGTGTACCTGTTACCAGCAGTATAGAGTTAGCAGTGTGGACAGTCTGAAATAATTTGCTCTTTTCAGTCATAGTTTATTTAAAAACTTTTACTGCAGAAGAATTGTCCAGTTCATAGGCAGACACTTAGCATATATTATTGATAACCAGTACTATTGCATCTTGTTAACATAAAAACTATTCAAAGAATGTATAACTCTGCGGAACAACAGGAAGACAAAAAGCTGCTAACATCAAACAAAATTTCAATTGTAGGCACATACCTAGACCACTCTGCTTTTGTTCCAGAATAGTTCTCGGTGTTCGTAAGTTACTATTGCTTTCTGATAAGACCTGGATATAAAAAAAAAAGAAAAAGAAAAAAAGAAAAATAAGGGAAAACAGAACAGCAGCATGAAACATCCAGTTAACTTGATACAGCCGCCTGTTTCAGACAGACAAGTGTTAATAAGCTGTATGATAAGTGTTAGTAAAAATACGTAACGGAAACATGAAAGATCATGCAATATCCCCTCTTCTGAAGGGAATCCATTTCACATATGAGTTCCTTGCAATGAAGTGGTGAAAAGCAAGCATTCAAAATGAGAAGGGACATAGACCAAGACAGATATGAGAACGGATGTTTGAGACATGTTATTTCATGTTACCAAATGCACTCTCCTAAACTGCGCCTGTATCGAAAAAAGAAGGGGAGGGAAGGAAAGACAGACAAGCTATTGAGGACACCATACAATCACTGATCCATGCACGGGCTCAATCATTGTAATCTTCAGATGCTCACAGCCTTTACTGATATGAACTTTTCCTATGTAAATAGCTTTAGAATTTTCCGTAATAAAAAGAAATTATGAAAATTTTCAAAGAAAAAGGATATGATTAACAGAACACCATCCATTTTCATACATGTAAACATTATCTCAACATACATAAACAGTCTTTAAATCTTCACTAGTACTTCAAAAATATTTACTGTTTCCTTTTTTCCTGCCTTTCCCCACCATCTTTAGAAAAGTCTTCAAAATACTGTACGAGTTAATGGATGATGTACTGTGTCAGGAGTTTCAGATACCTCCAGATACAGAAGGCAAGAATTATTAGTGCTAGAGTTTGTTCCCTGCAATAGTTAATATCAGGCCACTGAAAATATGACATATGCAAAACAAGTTTTGAATAGCAATATGAAGTACCAAATAAATTATTTTAAATGGTATTGGTTGCAATTATTAAAAAAAAAAATTCAATTTACCTACCACCAAATTAAGCAATGCTGTTTTTAAAGTCTTAAAGGACAACTAAACCAAAGAAAAAAATCTGTTTCATCAGGCAGTAGACTAAGCCTTTTATACAGTGGTAACATTTGCAATTCCTATAAAGAAACCAATTTTTTTGGAAAACATGTAACACATTCAGTGGAAAAACATGCACTTGCTCTTCTTCTCCCAGACATTCTCGGGAAGTCATTTTCAGAAGTGGAAAATTTGCTTCAAATATAGTCCATAACAAGGGATTAGATGTCCTTAAAGACAGTTGGTTGTTGCTTGGAATGCATAATAATGTTTAATGAAGTAAAGTTTAAAAACCTGTTGCCATGAGCCAAAAATACTGGATGTGAAAGCCAATGATTTAGGGGACACAGGGGAAGAAGTGATTTGTTCCCCTGATCTGCGTCTTCGACGCCCAGTACCCACACCACTGGTGTAATGCAGCCAGGTACCAATACACTCTGGGCTAGACACACTCAGGGGGCTCTCTTCCTGGAAGTGAGAAAGGGGGCAAAAAACAGCAAAGCATGCAGAGTTAGATTCAACAGAGCCAAATGAACAGAAAAGAAAAAAAAACAAAAACAAACCAAAAACCAATCTGCTCACACCCTTTTATACACTGCTTTGAAAACTATTAAACAGTGAATAGGAAAGAGTAACATTACAACACTAGGAAGTTACCAGTTCCACTTGCATCTTTTAATCCAACTATATATTTTAATCTTTAACCAAATTTCTGGTAGACTAATTATGAGATATGAGAGAGAAGTAACTGTTCTCAATAACTGATTCATAATTATAAGAATTTCCCATATGTTGGAAACAGAACATCTGTTATCCTTGACATACTGTTTAACAGCTTCCTACATTAAACTTTCCTATTTCTTACTTAATAGTTTTCATTTTTAGTCTATAATCTTATCTAAAAGATTCTCATTTTTAGAATTGCCTTTGAGACTCTACAGCTGACTCACTCATAGCAGCACCAACCTGACTGGTAGTAGTTTCCTAACCTTAAAAAAAGCCCTAAAAGTTATCTGATACTAGACGCCTGTTAAGACTTCAAGGGAGGATAGCGTCAGGCCGAGTTTGCCATGCTCTACATCATTTATGTATCATTTGTAATCAACAACTTTACCAATACAGAATTTGATTTCCAATGCTCATGAGCCTTACTTTCTCATTTTACTGTTAGAACTCTTTATTTTCATGACTCAATCACAACTACAATCCTTCTGTAAATATTGCTGACTATACTTCAAATTAAAACTTCCATATCATCTCACACCAGACAGTGTCCTTTCAAATTAATGGACATAGGTGAAAAGAGAATTGCCTTATAGAAAAAAGTAAAAAGAGGTTCAAGGCAGTTGCAGTTTAAGTTGCAATGAGTTTTCTTAGACACCTGAAAATACCATTTGGTTTAAATATTCCAAATACTGGTTTTGCAGATTTCAGTAGGCCAGCTGAAACTTCCAATTTTACTTTTTATTGTATAATTTCTTTAAATGGGCTATTTTCTTCCAGCACTGAATGCTAAAACACATTCCATCTGAATATGTATTATCTACACAGTTAAATTTAGCAATTTATGTTATTGATACCTTTTGAAAGTAACTTCTACCTGATTTATTAAAATGAAAATGGTTAAACGTTTGAACTAATAGACTATTAAGTTGTGTGTAAATGAACTCATAACTAGGACGGGAGCTTGCATGATCACAGTGAAAACAACTTTTAAAAATCAAAAATATTGATGTTGTGAGTATTTATGATAAAACTTGGAAATAGAAACTGTAAGACATTCACATTTATTATCTCTGTTAATTTATGAAGTCATATGGAGTTATAGAGATATCCTTATAAAAGGGAAGCATGCATTTTTTTCTCTCCACACTACCAATAATCATGTTAATTGCAAATCTGTAACACTTTCATTGCATACAAACAGCCCATTCCCAACACAAACGTGAAATGAAAAGCTTTTGGTATAAATCTTCATTTCTGATGGTTTTAAACAACTGAAAATGAGGCAATAAGAAGCTGTTAGACTGCTTCTGCCACGATGCACCATCTGAAGCTTTGCCACTCAACTGTACAAATGGTAACAGCGATACTGCGGTGCCTCCCTCCCCACCTCTGTAACATTAAAGCTGTTATCTGTGAAGCACATCTAAATGTCATGGCCTTCAAGAAAGGAGATCAGAACTGTTCAAGATCTTCTCTAAAGCATTCATGAAACACAAACCCCACCCACTCAAAAAGAAGCTTCCAGTTTATTCTCTTACCTTCAAATGCTTGATAAGTGCAGTCACTTTCACCCCATGTGAAAGCAAATACAGAAGACATGTCTCATCTCCTGTACCTCCCCAACCGCCCCCAATCCCTCTGTTCCCTCTCAGCATGATCACCCCGAAGGTTTGCTTAATTCCCAATAGCAGCCATCTTGTAAGGATGAATACAAAAGCAATGTATGTTAGTTTGAAGATGTAGGTTTAGACAGAAAAAGTCTTCATTTTTAAGTATCAGCTTTTATAAAATGGCTTGAAAAGAAAAAAAGGAAATAAAGTCTTATTGCAAAATACTAACTAATTAAAAAAAAATCATTCAGACAAATTACTGTCATGGAAGATGTCCCATAGAATAAGAGCAACCCTTTTGTGAGATATAACATCACACTCATTCTGGGTAATAGAAAGCAGAATTATGGTTTGTTTTGTTAAAAGTAAGCAAAAGTTAATTTCTGTGAATAACATTATCTGGAACATAAACACTTACTTCTACAGAACCAATCTTCCGGGATCTTGGAAGGGGTGACTTTCTGTGTATGTGAATTGGGTCTGACACCATTGGCTTGAACATCACTAGTGATCGATCTGTTTCATCTCTTCTAGAAGCATGTGTCTCCTCATCACTATCATTTCTATGAGAGGTTTTCTTTGAGCCTTCATTCTATAAACAATACATAATTAATTTTCAATTTAGCTGCACACCTTGCAACATGTAGACATAAGTGGCTGTTAAATAAATCTGTGTAAACATAAAGAAAGCTGATTATAAAAATATAAAATAAATAAATCACATATTACTGAATAAATTGCTCTAGACTTTAATAATCTATGTGTATTTTCTCTTAACCAGCCACTGCATACGATAGTGTGGTCCTAATATCTTACTCCAATTTTCTGTTGACATAGTAATAAAATCCTGGTCCCACAAGTCAGTAGAATTCCAGCCAAGCTTTGCTTTCATTCGTTTCTCAAAAGGCAGTTGGTAATTCCACAGATCTGCCCATAGATCTTTGAAAATATGAATCTTTCCTTAACAATCTGTACTCATAAACATGTCAAACTACCTTACTTTCGTAAATATTTTTTTCAGTTGCCAGAATATCATTGATGTGACATTGATGCTGATATCACTTTTCTCACAATGAGTATTTAATATTTCTAGCAAAAATTCTGGCAAAGCCATAGAAGGTCCACATTATCTGTGTTCATTCAAAATGGAAAAATACATTGGGACTGTCTATATTTTACTAGATGTTTTTCTACCAAAATAAAAATCACATTTTTATCTTTTAACTAACTATTTCCCAGTGCTTATTTTAGGTATGTCCACATCCAGAAAAACTGATTTTTGCTTTAAAGAAAGGCATAATTATTACCTCTCTGGAAGCAGGTCTGTATCCATACCCAGCTGGTAAATTTTTATCTTCTTCACAGCCTTTGGCTCCTGGACTAAAGTGCAGCTCTACATGAAAACGTTCTTCCGAAGAAAGTTCCTGAAGAAAAATTATTAAATAGGTTTATACTTTAATAGAAAGCTTAGCACTACTAATTTCTAAAGATATTTCTCGATTTTAAATACCTTGTTTGGATCCTCATAAAGCATGATAACAATCTGTGTCATGTAATTGAGTTCATTGACAATATTTAAATAATCCATAGCTCGTTTCCACTGCTCATCTTTTGATTCCTTATGGGGGGAGGGGGGGGGGAAAAAAATCAATAAATAAAGCCCAACTATTTTCTTTAAAAAGAGTGATGATATCTCTTTGACCCCATTTACACGCATTTTACATTCACAGCGGAAGTATGAAGCTTTTCACAGCTACGGAACAAACAGAGATACAACCAGAATAAACAGTGACTTAAAATTAATCATCAAATGAACGAAAAGTGTAGATGTGTAGATCAGGACTTTTCATATTTTATTTCAGCATAACTTTCATGTTCTTTCTGCCAATGATAATACATGTCTTGTAGACAGAGGCATCATTTTAAACTCTCCTGATGGGAATTGTTATTTTGCAATAGGCAAGTCAACAGAGAAACTGAAGGCTTCTAGTATATAGAGTAAAAATAACCATCATAACCTAAACTATTTAACATGAATATTCACCTATTTTTTATGCTCTAGAAAAAATACATTTAGTAATGCATTTAGTAATTTCCTTAAAGGAAATTTAAAAGTTTATCAGCCTAAAACTAGGAGTGTACCTGTTGTAGCATATGTCACAGAGGTCTAGGATTAAAAATGTTTTTGCCATCAGTGAGTTGTGTCATACATTACCAGAAGCAATTATGTCAATACAACCATTTCAAAAGTCAGTGTAGAATCAGCCGTGTAGGCTTTGTGGTGCTGCATTTAACCTCTCCAAGAGCTCAGTTAGGTCTTTTCTGAATCTAGAGATCTTGTCTTTTTTAGTCCTTGGTTTCAAAGCCAATCAGATGGAGAATAATCCGCTACTTTCAAGGTATTCTACAACAGTATTGGAAAGTAAGACAACACACTGAATGAGAAACTTCGCACTACATAAGCATTCTTGAAGTCAGGTAGGGACTTCTTGACAATATGGTAATCATCAAAGATAATAAGCCAGTCCAAAAGTGAATTCAAGAGAACCCTGAATTATAACTTGAAGGAAAACGTTAGCAGAATTATAGGTGACAACAAAAGACAAAAAAGTGGATTATCTGCCATTTTCAAAACTCTTTGAGGCTGCAACTTACACAGTTGAACACACAAATGGAACACAGCATTACTTTAAAGGGCATGCTGATTTCCACCAGTGTGCACACCAGTAATTTGAAATATGTCTGTGCATATATAATAGGAAATCAAATGTTTCAAAAAGTGTGATTTATCTCAAAGCCACTTAGGAAAATTAAGCTTTCAATTGATACAGTTTTAGTAAGATTAAGTCCTTTTGGTTCCTGTCAAACTATCAGAGGCTTTAACAGAAAAAGCATTCAACTTACATCACATAAGGCACCATAACGAAGGGTGGATAATAGGGAGTGGACATGACTCTCACTGGTGAAATACAGCCGTGTACGAACATGGCGTTCAGGGGACATAACACCCCTGGAGTAACTTGAAAGAAAAAAAATCTTATTAGACCATAATGGGATGTGTCTCTATTTTAGAAATAGCTGTCAACAAATTAGTAAATAATACTTTTAAAATTACTATTAATTACTAAGATATTTCAAATATGAAAGCTATGGAATATCTCCATTAAATCTTACAGAAATTAATGTATAATGTAAAAAAGGACTTACAGAGGGTGAAGCTTATTTACAGTATCATCATCTTGAGTCCTCTGAAGGTCAGAACGTATTTTTCTAACTAGAGGAGTGCAGTAACCTTTGGCAATCTCTAGTTTCTCAGCCTTAGAAATACCATATTCCTATGTAAGAAGAAACTAACTTAAAATTCAGTTAAAGATTAAATTGCCTTCTAATTCAAAGCTTGTCTATGAAAGCCAATTAGTCATCTATTAGTTTGCTCTAGCTGTGAACTGTTTTGTTAACATTTTCATTACATTTGATTACTGATGTCCCTTCAAGTAAAACCTTTATGCTGTTTTATTTGACATAGAGAAACAGTTTTTCATGCACTAGTTAAACCACAAAAGTGGATTAACCTTCCAGTATGATAAAGCTCTTTTTCTTAAGCAAAACATCTAGGGAATGATTCCTCCTCCCATTTCATCTCACCTGATTTCAAATATCTTTTTTTTTCTTTTTTTTAAACAGCCAATAAAGAGACATAGGTACATTACCTAATAATATGTTTATCTTAGTCTGTGGTAAACAACCCCACGGAAGATCTCCTATTCACCTCAAATAATACTGTAAAAATTGTAGTTAAATATAACTGGAACATATTGTATCTGTTACAGTATCTACGATATTTAAATACTGTCTCTTCCAGAAGCTGTGCTGGTCTGTGCTTCACATGATGTGAAAGTGCTTTCATCATTATGATGGATCTGCTGGTTACCCTAAAAAGCAACATAAGCACTTCTCCTTTGCATTATCTGGGCTTATCAAGCTTTCTTTGTTATTCTTCCTTCAGTATGCATCCTCATTTTTACTTATTCTTTTCTAAGTTCTATTCAGAACTTAAGCTTAACAGGCCTACGTTTTTATGGGCACATACTATGTATCATTGCTCTTCTTGTCCTCCTTGTTGTCAGGGAGTTTGAGAGATAGGGAAAGGAAGAAGTTTTCTGACTTGCTGCATACAATACTTATAATACCACTGCTCTGTAACTGCAGGGACACTTGAGGAAAGCTTTAGTCTGTTCAGTCCTGTTATCACAAAACAATTTCATGTCCTGTAGCCTACAACATTTCAGAGCTAACCTGAGTTTAGCAGCCTGTTGTATATGGAAGTTTAACTTGTCTGCTTCTGCTCTGAAATTCTACGAAATTTAAACTATACATTTTTATCAGGGAGTGTGAGCATTTTGAAGCAGCAGAAAGGTATTTTTAAATTTAAATTGCTAAAACAAGTGAAATTACATAAGGATTAACAATGTCATTTGCAAAGAGCCTGAAAAACAAATTTTTAAAAGCAGGAAGAATGAAATTAAATGCAATTCCAGAATACACAGTTGTTCAAAGGAGCTCACACTTAAATCTAAGAAGAATGGCTGAAATGAACCACTTTATTTTAATACAGTGCAGTAAACAGAAGCAGACATGTTCACAGCTTAAATTGCTAGAAAAACTCCCTCTGAACACAGCTTTACAAATTATGAATCTGTTTTCTTCTTACAAAAAATAATCAGCTTACTACCAGAAAATCACAGGTAACTTTAAAGGCTTCTATTACTGCAAAATAGAGGAATCTCCAACAGAAAAGAGTAAACATTTTCACAAATTTTGAACAAGCATTTATTCTACAATTTGTTCTATTTAATAACTGAAAATGCTTACCTGAGGGATCACAATGTCAGCTAAAGCTTTTGAAAGCCTGTATAATTCCATTGTGTTTTCTAATTTTAAGGAGCCATTGTGCTGCACATCATATTTTATACAGTCGTAAATATCAGGAATTTTGCTAATATCATATCTTCCATTTTTTGTTTTAAAGTCTTTTTCCAGCTTGGCCCACCTACGCAACATGAGTTCTAGTGTTTCACTGTGGTACAGCTGAATATCTGGAAAGATGTATCTCATAAGCAATCAAGACCATCCAAGTAACAAAAGCAAAATTTTAATTACATGGTAGTAACAGCTGAATACAGAGGGATAAAAGGGATTGAATAAATTAACTGTGTTACTTCTAAGAATAGAAAAAAGATGTGCATATGGTTACTTTTATGGTTAAAAGCATCACAGCTACATAGCTACATCAAAAGCATCAAGCTTTGCTGCAAAGGCACCACTGGCCCTTTAAGCAAAGCTACAGCACCATGAATAAAGTATCCTATATAACAGATTATATATGAAAAAAGCAGCAAAAAGAAGCTGTAAGAAAATTCTAGAAGTGAGCAAGAAGAACAGAACAACATCTGTTTTAGAACAGACCACACATCCTATTTGTTTCTCTCTCTCTTGAGAACGTCAACAGAACAGAAGCTGTTTGTATACTACACACTGCAGAGAACATTGACAGCAAATATTCCAGTATTTAGCTAGTACCAAAAAGCACTATAGCCTCTTCCAGCTGTAGTCTTCCTGTGATATTGGTTCACCATCATTACATCAGCATCACACTATACGATATTAGTACATATCATACAGCAAGAATATATCTTCAGCAAAGATACTTACATATAAAAATGTAGCTATTTAACTTAGCTTGAGTACCACCTGCTTTTCCTATTACTTTTGTGGACTGATAAGTTTCAAATAATTAAGACAAGAATTTCTACAAACATTTGAGGACTAACTTGAACTTCTGAACACTTGAGTCCTTATCTGCAATCTGACCACGTGTTCCTCTTGTTTTACTCTAAAATAATGCATGTGGAATCAGACTGAAAATCCCTAACCCATTTTGACTAAAGTTCTGCTAAAAGTGAGTTTAATGAAGAAAAGTTATGTTACAATTCTCTCTCAGATGTAAACAAGAGGAACTAAATACAACTAGAAAAATGTTTTAAGTACCTGCAGACTTTGGATCTTCCATTCTTTGCCTGATCTGAGAAGTCAAACTCTGGATCAAGGAATAGACCTTGTCACATGTCTTTACAGGATTTTTAATAACCTGCATTGATTTTTTCAATGAGATGCTTCCAGATGGAGTAAGCTGCAATTTGAAATAAACACAAAATTATCTAAATAAACTGATTAGATTTGAAAGAATTGGGGAGATAAGATGGAACATATACAAGATTCCAAGTACTGGAGAAAAAGCATTCAAGCAGGTTCCTATTAATTTTTCAAACCATTTCTTAATTATCTACACCCTTTGAGACATTAGAAAATATATATATGTATCTCAAAAGGTAGTAAGATTTACGAGATATTCAAAGGTGACAAGAAATTCATAGGGCAACTAATTCTACACAGTAAACATCAACAGTTTCAGGAGTTTCTAAAACACTTTCTCTGCCTCAAGACAGGAAAATTGGAAAGATGTTTAAAACTTTGTAATTACTTAGCAAACTTCCATAGCTTCCTTTCAATTAACTATTGTATTCAAAAGCTTCCAAAAAAATTCTGTAAGAAATGTTACTGTAAGGTTATGTGCCTTACAAGATTCTGTTCTATAAAGTACCCTCTTCAGCATAACTAGAAGGAAGAACCAAATCTGCAATAGTAACTGATACCTGAAAAACATTTGTCTCTTCCTGTTTTAGATTTTTGTTTCCATAGGACTGCAGCACACAAACAAAAAGAAACCCTTTAAATGCACATATTTCAAGATGTTCCTTCAGAGCAGACTCAGTATAGAAACTGTAGAAGCTACACATTATCACCACCAAGCTGTCACTAAAACAATAGAGCCAATATTCATGTGAGGCTTAGACTCGTTTTTTCAAAAAAGTGTGCATAATCCAAAGTAAACAACAATAATATTAAACAGTAATTTATATACATAACAAACATACATATTTGTACTTTCCTCAGTTTCCTCAAATGCACAGGGTAATCTGGATATGGAAAACTTCAGCCCTCTACCTAATAGGTAGGTCCTACCTCTCTATTATGACCAAGTAAATCAATAGGAATGGTGCTTTGGCACAGGAAAAAACCCAACATATTGTTTTTCCAAATTGCAAGTTAAAAAAAAAAAGAACAACAAAAACCAAAAAACCCAAAACACAAACCAAAAAAAGTTATCACTTTATAATCCCAAAGGTTAGTTCGTTTCAGTGGACTGTCTTAGAAGAGTGTGCTGTATTAGTTCCAGCTACCTTTCAAATCCCATTATATCTATATGGCAAAAGGAAAAGAGAAAATAAATGAATCCTTGAGACCTTGTGCCCTCTCAATTTTTCTAAGTACTGCTGAATCTACTGCTGGCAGTGGTTCGGATCATACTTTTAATCTACATGTTTAAATGAAATCACATAGAGTATACATGCAGGGTATCACAATTCTTTTTCCATATTTCACTCTCAATACCTTTTAGAAAAGAGTCGTTCAACAATAAATTTTACTTGAGGACTCGTATTTAGCTGTTATATCAGAAAGAATAAGTGCAATTGAAAGAGAAAGAAGTTTCTTAACAATGACAAAGATTATTTACATTTAAACCCAAGAACTATCATGTATGTTTTGTACTACATCAGCATAAATTATAATATGCACTAATTTAGCATGTTAATGTGACATTTTCTTTCACTGATTATAAAGCATTCTACTGGTTTTCAGCGTCTTAGCATTCTTAGAGTTAAAAAAAAGACAAATTAAAAAAATGCAGGAGGTAGGCCATACATTTTGTAATATGACACACTGCCAAAGTAAAGATTACAGAAAGTGTACACAATATAGTTTAATTTCTGGAATAATTAAAATATTTTAATGGAACAGTGAAAAAGATTATGAACTGGGTCCCTATCTACTCCTATTTCAGATTTTATAGCTATTCCGATTACTCAAATTGCAAGACAGTTCAAAACATCTAATACTGTAATTGGTACAGCTTCCTTTGTAGTTCAAACTATTTGCAAGAACACAAAAATTTTTTCAAAATACATACATAAAATCACTGCTCATTAACTTTACACAAGAATTTGCATGACTATTTCATTTAATGGGAAACTAGTCATATGCTGACCTTATCATAGTCATCAGAAGTAAATTCTCTGTCTCTCTGGAGAATTTCATGGAGTCTGGCTTTAACACGATGCTGACAGCTGCTTAAAGAATCACTGTCACTGTCTAACAGACCATTCATATTAGCACTTTTTACCATCTGGACAAGAATAGGAGTCAGCTCACCCTCTAAAGCCAGTAGTCCCTGAAACAAATAATACAATTAATCAGGCAAACAGATAAAGATAAAAGTATAAGAGTATCTTAAAAAAACACCCAAAACACTAATTCAAATTCATTATTTTAACACTTGCCTGTGGGATAGATAAAACAGACTTGGCAGACAATACAGACTTTTGCATAGAAATGTCACCCAAAGGACTGCCTTGGTGTGCAGAATTGCTACACTTGGTGTAAATGACATTAACATGTCATAGCACGCTTCCCGGCACCAGCTGAAGTGACCCTAGCATCTCAGTGGTGCCAACATTGCTCCTGGGAGGCCACAGCTATTCAGGTCTTCGGTTGCAGAAAATGCACAGTGACTTCTTCCTGAGGCTGGGAGCAACAGCCTGATTTGTAAGGGACATGCTCTACTTAAGGCATTGACTCACCAGACAGTAGCTATGGGAAGAGTTAGCAAACCAAACAGCATCTTGGGAGAACAAGTGGGAGACAGATAGTGTCTTCGCAGAGACCCTACAGAGGTAAAAGCTGAAATCCTGTATGGCACAGAAGGACTATCAACAGTTATGCTTGAAAAAAAGGTGAATGGAGACTTCCAAAACGGAGAAGGCGGGAAACTTTTGTGACTTTTCTTGCAATAGAAGGGCTCAGGGATAAGGAAGAGAATGATGTGGTATCTCCTCAAGCCTGCTGACCATAGAGAAAGCAGGACAGATGCCTGAAATACTTCTGCACCAACACATGCAGCATGGAAACAAACAGGATAAACAAGAAGTCCAAACCCTTGCAGAAGTTTATTCAGATTACAGAAATGTGGTGGAATAATTCATATAAATGGAGTTTTGCCATAGCTAGATCCAGGGCCTTTTGGAAGGCAGGAAGGCAAGGAGGGCTCTATATAAAGGAGTAGCTTGAACACTTGCTTTCAAACCAGTGACAAGCAAGTTGAGATTTTATTTGTAAGGATAAGAAGACAAATAAGCACAGGGGAACATCATGGTGGGCCTCGGCTACAAACCACCCAATTTAAAAGGGGAAATAGATGAAGCTTTCTTAACACAACTGGACAAAGCCTCCTGATTGTAGGCTCTGTTTTCCATGGGGGCCCTTAGCCCTGAGTACCTCATGCATGGGCAATATTGCAGGGGACAAGCAATCCAGATTTCTGGAAAACTGGATTTCAGGAAAACTGGAACTCAGGACAGTTCTTTGACACAGGTTACTGATGAACTATTGAGCAGAGACATTCCACTGGCCCTGTTACTTAGAAGGGCCAGGAACGTAGAGATCAGTGGCAGCCTTGGTAACTGAAACCTGGTATGTCAGAACATTGGAGAAGTGAAATAATTGCATTAGAGCCTTGGACTTCAAGAAGACTTTAGCTTGTTGATGGAATCCTATGGAGTAGTGTCCTAAAGGACAAAGGCACTGAGGACAGTTGGATGATACTCAAAGACAACCTCTTCAAAGCACAAGAGCAGTCCACTCTGATATATGGAATGTCATGCAGAGGTCAGCATGGACAAAAGAAGAATACATAGAAGGTGGAAGCTGGGATAGGCTACTTGGGAATAAGAGAGAAGACCTGAAAATGAGGGCTGGAATGCCACAGCCTAGAGAGGCTGTGGAATCTCCATTCCTAGAGATACTGAAAACTTGACTGGATATGATTCTGCACAACATCATCCAAACTGGCTCTGTGCTGTGTAGAGATGGACTAAGATGAGCTACAGAAGCCCCTTGAAACCTAAACCTCTCTATCACTCTGTATTATTACTGAAACTCATTTACCTAAGAAGTATTTATGGACTTGCACTGTCTCTGCACTTTCACGCAATTAGAACATCTGTATCACTGAAATGATGAAATAAGTGAATAAAATATTAACAAGTGGAAGTGTTACGCATACAAAGAGCTACTTGGAGGAAATGCAAAAGAGGAATTTGCTTAATATGCAGAGGAGTAAAAGAGCATTAGCAAGCATTATAGATGTAGGAATTTCTGAATTCTGTGTTTTATATATTAATAGTTCCTGTAAATTCATATTTCTACTAAATAAAAAACAGTTCATGCTTTTTAAACTTTACCACCATCTTTTTATAACTTCACAACAAAAAGTACATGTAAAAAAAAAAAATTCTATAAAGTGCTAAGATGTAGTACTGCTACTGTGCCTTACTTACTAGGTATTCATTTTGACAGGCCCAAAGTGAAAAGTCTCCTGTAACAACTTTAAGAAACTACTTCTATTAATTCCTCAATTCCACATTTCTAGAGGGTTTCTTCAAGCCCTCTAATTGCCTCTATAAAGTTACAAATCAAGAAACGAAGATGATTTTAATCATCTTGTTGCCGAATCTCCTGGTCCAAATCACCGAAGTGACTGAAAATTGCAGTTTTTGCTCGTGTAAAATGAATACGTTATCTCAAATCAGTTCCAATGTCCGTGCTTTAACCAATACACACACACAATCTGTCACAGAAATCAGACAAAATTTGAAGAAAGTAAGTCCTAAAAAACTAAGCAAGGTGCAAATTAAAAGTGCTGCCAATCATATCCTGAGTTGCATCAAAAGAAGTGTGGCCAGCAGGTTGAGTGAGGTGATTCTCCCTCTCCGCTCTGCTTTCATGAGACCCCACCTGGAGTACTGCATCCAGCTCTGGGGCCCCCAATATAAGAAGGGCAATGACCTGTTGGAACAAGTCCAGAGGAGGGCCACAAAGATATCAAGGGGCTGGAACAGCTCTCCTATGAAGACAGGCTGAGAGAGTTGGGAGGTTTTGTCTTGGAGAAGAAAAGGAATAGGGAGACCTTATAGCAGCCTTCCAGTACTTAAAGGGGTCCTACAGGAAAGATGGGGAGGGACTCTTTATCAGGGATTGCAGTAATAGGATGAGTGGTGATGGTTTTAAACCGGGATAGATTTAGATTAGATATTAGGAAGAAATTCTTCACTATGAGGGTTGTGAGACACTGGAACAGGATGCACAGTGAAGATGTGTATGCCCCTCCCTGCAAGTGTTCAAGGCCAGGCCGGACTGGGCATTTGATCAAACTGGTCTAGAGGAAACTGTCTCAGCCCATGGCAGAGAGGTTGGACTAGATGATCTTTAACATCATTTCCAACCCAAACCATTCTATGATCTGGGACATTATTACTGGAAAGAACTAAGGTATATTTCTAGGGCTTTATAGTTAAAACCTGTCTGCTTCTGCTCAAAGAACTTCAAATATTTGGCACGTTAATAGGATACCTTTTCACATTTGAAAATACATTTCTTTCAAAACGCAGCCTCATTATACACTGTGAACTCTTAATAAATCATAAAACTCCCCCAGACTTCAAAAGAAAAAAACAAACTTGAGAACATCAGAATTTTTAAAAATTGAAAATTTCACATTGTACCTTTGCAAAAGCTGCTGCAGTCATTTGAACTCGTCCCTCATCAGAAGCGTAGATTTTGAGATCATGTCGGTAAGTGCTATGTAATCTAAGTAAACCACATCCAGGAAATCCAGCATAATCTCCTACCAAACAAACATTTTGCTCAAACTCTCATTTTGCACTTGATTATCTTTAGGATTTATACCATTCAACACTTTTTTTTCCTTACCCTGTCCACCTGGATACATACACCTGAAAGCCCTTCCAAGCTCCTCTGCTTGAACTCTGCCTGCAGGGGTCAATTCTCCTCCCCATTTTAGAACTAGAAGCAGAGATGGCTCATTTCTTCTATTATCTAATTATACACAGAGAGAGGAGTTTAGTAATGAAGTATACTATAAATAATTTTTTTGCATATGAATAAAAATATTTGCACTATGCAGGGCCTCGTAAAGGATCTCTTCAATGTTATGAATCTTTAATAGAAATCTAACATTAAGAAAATATTGAACTAGAGAAGTAAGTGGACACTTAAACAGAGAAACCTGAAGGAGTTAAATTACGGAGTAAAGAGAAAAATATTTAGCATGAAATCTGAGCAAAAAGTAAATTAAGACAGAAAATTTAAAACAAATTGGATGCTAATTACAGTTAGTTCAGTCAAAAAAACATGGGTCAAGGACCAGAAAAGTTTATAGACGTTTTAAATGTTAAGTAAGCAGTAGAATTTTCCCATCCTGGCCCCAAAACACCATTTTCGGTGAATCACTGATGCTTCTTTTCACTCAACTTTTCTGTTACAACAAAGCAGTGTTAGAACACAAATTTACTACATAGTTTTAGGTCTACAATTCAGCAGATTAAGAGACTGTATCTGCCAACAATACAAAGATTCATTCAAATCAACGTATTCCTTCTTCTTAACATCAAGACATGTTATACCACTAGTCCATGACTATTTAGGTGCAAAAGTAATACAATACCTTCCTCTTCACTGGAAGTCTTTGGGCAACCATGTGGAAGATATGTTAACTGAACTTTGCGATTTATGCCTGAAAAATGCCCATACCTGAAGCAGGAACAGGGGAAAGTGAGAGATGGAGAGGGAGATAAAAATTTTATATAATTTCCTCAAAATCTGCTATACTCCTGTAACACGATATGAAAAAAACTACGCTGGTCATTGATTTGTGCATTTGACCACCATTTATTGAAGCAGTGCTTAGAACAAGCCTAAATCAGCAAGCACAGAATGACTACAGAAATAGCAACTATTCTATAATGAAATATTTAAAAATACTATCTACTACTGTTTTGCACAACACTGAACGTAAAACTGAAAAAAAAAAAAGCATTTGCAGGTTGCAGGAGTCATTTATGTATTCAGATCCACAGCGACAGTGACTATCAGTATCCAGAATCTGATCTGGCAGTGTAGATGGCTACTGTTTTGTTAGCCAATTGAGTTATCAAGGAGAACTCAGTGTTTCGAACAGTAATAATAGATTTCAATAATAACTGTCTTTGTCTCGATGTTTTTACAATTAATGTTATATATTACCATTTAGAGTTCTGATACCTCAGATCTTTAACAAACGTTGAAACCTTAAGTTTGTTTGTTTTTCTTAACATTATTAAATATTCCAGGCTTAATGTAAAAATCCTAATTTACTTGGAATCCTCCAAGTTTGCTGTAAATAGATGGTACACACGCTGAAATATCTTATTGACTCCATCAGACTTCATTATGTCGCACACTGCAAGAAGCAGACCCTGCACTCAAATACTTTAATCTCAAGGTCATGTAAGAACATAAAATCAGAGATCAAAGAAAGTAACTTTCTCATGAAGAAAGTATACTGGGACACTAGATGAAGCATTAAGTTCAATTAAAAAGATCCTTCATAATGTCAAATATGTCATACTTTCTCTTGCTAACTCTTGTGCTTCAATTAAGATATCATAACATATTTGATAACCATTGCAATCCAAGCAGTAACTGGTCAAACATGTCAAAATAGCAAATACAACTTTGTTGCTACGAAGATGGTAAATTAGACACTTACATTTCTAACACAGTCTTTAGCTGTTCAAGTTTTGCTTTACTTTCCTCAATTTCAGAATCATTGTTTTGCCCCAGTTCTACAAGGAGTTGCCTTGCTATATCAAGCACTTCCTAAAGAAAGGAAATATTGGATTTACTTGCACAAATAATTTTCTACTTATAAAATACCACAGCAAAAAATATAAAGACAAACTTGCCTGCAACTGTTTTGGTTTTTTCAGTTTCAGTTTTCCAGATTTATATCCATCACATTTTTCAAAGAGATCAAAAAATCTTTAAGAGAAAGAATATTGATTAAAAAACAGTTAATAAGTTAAAATATTACTTGAACAAGTGGGTCTTGAACTTTAAGCGGTCTGAAATTAGCATCTTTACATTATTTGAAAAGCATGTTAAGACCTACACTACAGAGGTCAAACCAACCTTCGTTCAAATCCCATTTCTTAAGAAAGTCTTCTTGATTGGAGACAGAAGTACTAAAAATGATCTCTTACTGTCTTGCTAAGTGTGGGGGGAGGGGAAAAAAAAGGAAGATACTCAATGCACCAAAAAACATAACATTCAAATATACAGCTTTGATCCTGCACAGAAACAGGGACTGGAAATACCAAATGAGCAGTCCTACATATTTACAGCATTTATTTCTGAATGCAATAATCTAGTCCTAAACCAAATAATCAGTTTTTACTGAAATTGCACCTATTTCCAGGCCAATTATTTAAGGTACTTCAAGAATGCTAAAACAAATATGGTATCTACCAGAAATTCAGAGTCTTCAAACTTTGACAAGAGACAAACAGGTGGTGCTGCAAGATAACAGCTCACATAAGAATAGTAGTAATAAAAAAAACAAAGGCAGCAGTCACAGTCAAATGGTGAACAAGAAAAATTGCCTGCTGTATTGTTTTGTATAAAGACATTACAGAGAAAAATGCATTTTCACTGAGATCAAGCAGGACTGTTGACAAGGTGCAGCATGTGATGAAGGAAGTCTGCACAAGTAATCTGACAGTCCTGTTAGAAAGAGAGGTGTATGCTTGTTAATTAGCTGCGACTTCAGTTAGATGTAAAAGAAAACAAAACAAAAACCAACTTGTGTGATCCAATTCCTGCTCAATGCATTGCTTGCACATCCTCAAGAAGTAAGCTCTGCACTAAAACGTCCAAACTAATTTTTACCAAGATTTTACTTACCTCTGGTGTTTTACTTCCATTTTCATTTTTTGTTTTGGTGTTCGGTCCCCATGGCGTATTACAGCTATCACACATCTAAGCTCCATCCTGAAATTTCAAGAGAGTTAGTTTACAATGCTGTATATATGAGGGTCTTTTATTTAACATTAAAACCACCACAAATCAAGACAACTGACAAAGTCACAGTTACCTGATATAACTACAGAAGTGATGCAGGGATATGCAAGAATATAAGGTCAACTGAGAATGATGTAAACTATAAAGATTGATTTTTAAGACTTGGGTAACTACAGAATATCTATTTTAAGTAGTTTTTAAAACAATGATTTGGAGGTTCATTAAATGAGAGAGCATGTTTATTAGAAGTGCATATTAAGTAGGTGGAACAAAGATTAGCAGTGAAGGAAGCTATGCATAGAAGACACTACACTTGAAAATCTGCTGTTCTGTACTCAGCTTGACTAAGGATCAGAAACTCTGATTGCTGGCATAGCAATTGTGATTCCTTTCTTGTTTTCATCACACAAAACAAGTGTTCATAGGCCAAAGTGGGCACACCTTGTAAAGAGAAAAAATAAATTCACACAAAAGTTACATTAGAAGTTGGCACAATTCAGATGTAGCTACTATTTTCTTACATTGTTCCAGAGGTGGTTGGCACAATAGGGATGTCTTCAGCTTCCAAAGGAATTGACCACGGTATCTGAAACTGGGGAGCAAGCTCTCTCATGATGATATTTCTAAAAGGAGTTAAAGCATAGCTTACATAACAGAAAAACTCCAAACCAGATAGGTAATACATGCACTTTTATCGTACTTGCAGTGATGAGTCTCAAGATTTGTATTTTTCTTTTAATTGTGTAACAAAAACCTACTTAAACAACAATTCAAAGCTACTACAACTGCTAGAGACCCCACCAGTCTAATGGCCCTGGGTTTGTAAGAAACCTCACTTTTTGAACTCCTGTTCCTAAAAGAGTTCCTTAGATATGATTTAGCTCATTTAATCTTGCTCATTTAAATATTCAGATACCTGACTCCATTTCCTAACTGAGAATCGTAACTCTAACTCAAAAAATGACCTAAACCAAGGAACAGATTTGTTATCTAAGATTTCAGCTTAGCTTTTTCTCCATTTAGTGGGATTCCAGACCATCTGATAATACAAAAAGTCATGCTGTATCTTATCAGTGCAATCTTACTGTAAAGCCAGTTTAACTGGCCAATATGGGATCAGCTTATTTTAACGGCAACATTTCACTGCCATAGTGTTCACTACACAGTTCCATATGATCTCTTGTTATATCTTTTTTTTTTTGTTCCCAGTAGCAGAGAGAAGATGGGATGACAGAAGACACCTTGATACTATATCAGTTTGGATTTACAAGCATGAAATCCATAATTATACAAGTATACAGTAGCTTCAGATCAAGGACAATGTATATTAATTTGGGCAGCAAACATAACCATGCAGTGGTACTTCTTTACCTGACAAAAATCTTAACTACCTTTAAAAACTTAACTCAACTTTCAAAACACGTATTCAGGTAGGTTTAAGTGTTCACAAAACACTCAGACTCAGATGTTTTGGATGATTTTAGGAATAAGGAATTAATTTATTGATTTAGGATTCTTTTTTTAAAGTTATGCTCTTATTTAATTTAATGAGTTGTTTTATGCGATATTTAATTTTAAATAGATAACTTAGGCATAAGTAGTACATAAACTATAGTCTCATACAACAGAGTGAATAGGCAAATCTCCTGACATAAATCATCAAACTCTTACCCCAGTATCTTAGCACAATCATCATAGTATTTCATGGAGTTTTTCACAAAACTGAAGCCATTCACATCACAGACATAGGACTGTCCATTAGCACGCAGCAAATCAAAGCCACACACTGTTTGCTGTTTTTAAGAATAAAAGTTCAATTCATTGATTATTGAGAATAAACAATCCTAAGGAAAGTAAACTTTGTATTTTAACATGGTATTCATCTAAAAACATGACATAAATATGACAGATTTTTATACTTAGCATCTTTTGCCCATTCCATGTTAGGTTCGCTCATGTTATGCAAACATCTTCTCATTTTAATCTTTATATCCCCAACTTGATTTTACCCTTCCTACGTATTCCTAGCAGTATCAGTATTGAAGGTCAGGTTCACATGTGTGCAAACTTAATCTTCTAGATTTACAGTATAAGCAAGGAAGGGCCTACAAATTCCCATTCTGATAATGGTTTTTCCCTACAATTTTTAAAGGTGGCAGGCAAGAAATGACAAAATATTGACAAAAACATTTTTGTCCAAATTTAAATTTGATAGGATAGTTTTGACATTGACATACTATTGACATCATTAGTACCAGATACTAGATGCTATCTCAACAGATTATTATTTTAGATCTCAAAGCCCACTTTGCTAGGTGATAGAGGTTCACACCCTATAGAATATCATCATAGTTACACACCTGAGATAGACTGAAAGACAGCCTTTTAATAAGACAGGTGAAAGGAGGGTAAAAGATAGAAAGAGATTTTGAACAAAGCAATCTCAAAACTATACAAAAATGGAAACTGTTAAAGATTTCAAGTATGAAGCTAGTCATGTCAGTACCAAATTAACATTTGATTGGGTCTAATGTTAACACTAGGTAACAAAAGTTACAAAAACATGACTACTGAAATTGTGTTTCGCTGACTTAAAAACTATTAACAAAATGTGTGAACATATGCAGAGATGCACTGTGGACTAGCAAGGCACAATAGCAACATGCAAATTCAGGAGACTTATGCAACATAAGAAACCCATCTAGAACTTTTCAATACATTAAAGTCAGAATTCTTCCAGATTAAAAACAGATGTGAAAGTTTAACTTTTTGCCTTCCTAGGAGTCTTGCAGCAATTATCACTGCTGGCTCTGTGCGCTAAAACCCTATGGAAGTTTCACATAATAAACTATTAATTAATGCTAAATGTTTGATCAGATAGGAAAGTAATCAGCTTACTTTAAAGGCAAGGCATACTTTCCAAGCAATTAACTTCTCTCTTGCATTCAGAATGACTGGATACCTTACTTCTTTTCCTTCACTATCTCGTTCTACCTTGCCATCCAGAGCTGGAGACTTCCGGGCTTCAGCATGAGCATAGTCTGGACCTACTGTGTATACCTGTATTGAAAATAGGAACTTTTGATACAGTGTAATTAAATTACATTACATCTTGCAAAATTTATCTCAAATGTGATAATGACTTCAAAAGATAATAGCTGCTTTAATCACTGAAAACATCACTCTAAAGTACCTTCCTCAATGACATTCTTTGCTTTCTCTCTGAAAAAACACTTATCATATACTGATAACCTAAGATAAAACAAGAGGAGAAAACAGTTGGAGCACAGGTAAAGAAAAATAATAATTATAAAACTTGATGAAAAGAAATATTTTCTTAATTATGGTGGTAAAGAGGTAAAGAAAAATGTTCTCCTCTCCAGAAGAGAGGAAGTTTGCCAGAGCCTTTCACTGGTTACAGGAGGCAGCTATGAGAACAGCTGTGTGCGTTGTGAACAGCCAGATGACCTGCTCAGCCTGATGGTGGCAGA